AATTGTATTGAATTTTATTAGTTGCACATCATTGTTTGATTACCCTATTCACCCCTCCTAGGGTAATTTCATAATCAAGCCTTAGGATCAGTTTGATAGGAGATTTGAGGGGAGAGGATGAATAAAATAAAAATTTACGTTTAATAGGGGGTTCTTGAAGAAGGCAGTAGAGTGAGAGAGGGAGGGAAAGAAAAAAAAGAATGAAATGATTATTGTTCACTGTCCCATCAAATCAACGGGACAATGAACAATGACAGAGGATGGAGATGTTGTCTTAGGATGACTTCTATATCCGCAAAATGTTTTCATAATTCCCAAAATTACCCTCTCCAAATCAAAAGCCTTATCCATTTTTTTCTTTTCAATTCTTCCCAATAACTCATTGTAGATCAAAGAAATTATCACGAGTTTTTGCTCACACTATCAATCTCTTACTTCCAACCATAGATTTCAAGACGTTACCTGCAGATTGAGGGCTGATTTGTGCTTCCGCTATCACCATTCACTAGTTCTGACATATATCCCCTTCTATGACATTCCTTATTTCTTCATATTTTGTTGTCATTGGCATCCTTGCTTTATGGTTATGTTGTAGTAGTGATAAAAATTATTTATTTTCTTTAAACCATGTGAAGAGACAATTTAACTAGGTGTTTAGACAACTTAAGATTGAAGTATCTTTGATTTTATTTTGGAATTGAGTGAAGTTGTGATTGCATATTAAATGTTTGCTAGAATGCTTATGCCAAAAATTGTCTTATAGGTTAAGTAACAAGTGAACTAAAATGAAAGCCTTGAATGACCATAATAATTTATTAAACATACTTGAAATACGTATGACAAATGTACATTAACTTGATCACGCCTTGACTCACCACTCAAGCTCCTACTCAAGCAAATATATGCTTTGTCAGTTTCCTTCATGAACATGGTGGAGATGAAGGATTTAGCCTCTTTAAGGAGGACGATTGAATTTTTGTTTTCCTACGAAAATTAACTTATTGTTGCATATTTTTATCTCTTATTCATTATAAACTGCATTTTCTTTTATTTTATAATTGTGCATATTTATTTACTTATTTTTTATGTTACATTCTTCGTATATGGATAATGATCTTGATATAGATGATATTGTTGATGATGAATTGGTTGAGTAGAATCAAAGAAGAAGAATGATTATTGTTCAACTCTCTTGCTACCAAATATGTTATATCAATCAATGCAACTTCAAAAATCATGTAGAACTGGCCATTAACATTTTTGCAAGTTTAATGTTTCGAAACGCTCTAATGAAATACATCACCAAAAATGATAAGCTATGTCATGCAATTACACAAAGGGTAAAGAGGCATTCAAGAATTTCTATGAGATATACTACGTAGAGATGGTCAAATATGTGACACGAAAAATATCACACTTGAAGAGCAAATTGCTAGGTTCTTATATGTAACAGGAAGTAGTGTTTTAAATATCGGTCGATAAACCGATATTATAGGCAATTTATCGGTTTGGGGCCTTCCGCTATGATAAGTTTGATTTTAAATCGGTTATCATTTTTGAATGTTTATCGGTGATAATACAGAGATAAAGTGAGTTATCGGCCAATATTGTTGGCTCAAAATATCGAAATTATCAATCTTTGGTTTGGGTTTGCTCGTTAGATATTTAAGAATTATAAACTATTTGTTGTTGTTGGAACTTGGTTGTTTAGTAAGTAGCTTATGTTTGTTTATGAATGTTGACATGGCTCATAACTATTAAATCTCAACTTAGTGGTTTATAATTTCGTGATTACACAATAATTATGTTAATGATTCTTTATTTTTTTATGTTATCTTATTATTTACTTGTATGTTATTCCATTTTTACTAACTATGCACTCTAATGGTTTCATCGTGTGATCAAGAAACAAGTTTCTACTGTTGGTTAGTGATCCTAAACATAATTATTTACATTTTGGTATGTTTTATATTTCATTAAGTATGGTCAGATTACATTTTAGGATATTATAATATGTATATACACTATCTGGTAATATCACTCCGATAAATACTAATTATCCCCGATATCTGCAATTCGGTATGGATTTTGACTATACGATAAATCCTCGATAACCGATATTTAAAATTTTGATAGGAAGTGGTGCTCACAATTCGGTTTTACAAGTTTTCTTTCGTTGTCCGAGCGAGACTGTAAGTTGACAATTTCACCAAGTTAAAAGAGTGATCATCTATTTAAAGGATCGATTCCTTGTTGTAACGCCCCGCCCCGGAATCCCGGAGTCGGTACGCTATTAGATCTGATGGACTGGCCTCACAAACCACCACATGTCTTTTCAGTACGTTTGTCCTCAATCACGCGCTCCCTGGAAAACTTTTCAGGGGGTCACCCATCCTAGAATTTCTCCAGGCCAAGCACGCTTAACTTTGGAGTTTCTAAGAATTAGGTTCCCGAAAAGAAGATGCATCTTGGTGGTATGAGTATTCCAATCAAATCTATCAATACTAATCACATCACCCTCTCAAGGGTTGGGGTATTACATACTTCCCCACTTAAACTCACAACGTCCTCGTTGTGCCAAATCATATCATCCAAGATCGTACCATCCGTGTGAGATTCTAGAGGTGGCTCCTACGACCTCAAGAGGTGGCTCACGCCCTCTCGACGTAGCACTTTGCGCCGCATAGCACTTAGCTCTCATAATTCCGGTTGGCTTTGCTCTAATACCATTTCTAACGCCCCGCCCCGGAATTCCGGAGTCGGTACGCTATTAGATCTGATGGACTGGCCTTACAAACCACCACATGTCTTTTCAGCACGTTTTGTCCTCACTCACGCGCTCCCTGAAAAACTTCCCAGGAGGTCACCCATCCTAGAATTTCTCCAAGCCAAGCACACTTAACTTTAGAGTTTCTAAGAGTTAGGTTTCCGAAAAGAAGATGTATCTTGGTGGTATGAGTATTCCAATCAAATCTATCAATACTAATCATATCACCCTCTCAAGGGTTAGGGTATTACACTTGTACAACCAGATGGGATCGAAGTCCCTCTTGATATACGCAACAGTGACAGATTTGTCCATATTTCAAGGTATCTATACATAATAATTAGGTTCAAATTTATGATAAATGATTTAATCTAACATATAAAGTCTGTATGCAACATTTGTACTAGGACTGTATAAGAGCTATTGATGGAACACATATTCGAGTAAAAATTTCTTATAGTGAAACTACAAGATATCGTGGTAGAAAAGACTATCCTACATAAATGTTCTCATGATGTGTTCATTTGACTTAAATTTTACTTATGTGTTGCTTGGATGGGAAGGAATGACATCACACTTAAGAATAATTAAGAATGTATTGGCTCGAGAAATAATCTGAAAATCTCCAAAGTAATCTAATTATCAGTTTTGTTCATTGAAATTAAATATAAAGACTTTCATAAAACTATATGACTTAATGAAATTTTATTATCTTAGATGAATATTATCTTGTCGATGCTAGCTTCGTGCTTAAAAAGTGGACTTCTTGTGTCTTATCAAGGGGGAAGTTATCATTTGAAAGAATATTCTATGCGTAGTCCTAAAAATTCTCGCGAACTATTTAACATGTGTCATGCTTCTCCTCGAAATGGAATTGAAAGAAGTTTCATTGTATTAAAAAAGAGGTTTCCTATTCTAGGTTGCACGAACCCAAATTACAATATTAAAACACAATCCGATCTTCTCACAGTTTATTGTATTATACACAATCACTTGATGGGGTTGACCTAGATCATAATAATGAAGTGGACCATAATCTCAATGGTGCACGGTACCCTTTTACCAACTGAAGAATGTTCTGCTCGTAATGATGAAGATTTTAGGAAAGCTTCAATTTTAAGGGACAAAATATTGCAAGTGCCCTATAGGAGGACTACTTACATACTCATCATTAAGTATGTTGCTGCTTAGAAATGGACTTTTGTCATTTTTTTAGAAGTAAAACAATCTTATCATTCTCAAATGGCTTAATAACCCATAACTTGGAGTAGAGTTTTCTATTGTATATATTTTTTGGATTGTTACTTATCAGCTTATGTTGTATATATTTTTTGGATTGCGAATTATGGTTATTTGCTAATTGCGTTAACTTGGATGGTGGGAACCTTAGCACATTAGCATAGTTTTTTTTTTAATTCTTTGTAGATTGCATTTCCATAATTTGCATACTTTGAAGCAATTATTTCACTACCGAGACATATACTGATGAAAGTTTTACTTCTTTTTTTCCCCAATGTAAAAGCCTTGAGATGTTATTTGCTTAAGTCTTTTTTACTTGTGTCAAATTGAACTTTTTCATGTTCTTTTCTTATGTGTGAATTCTAATCACTATTCCTAACCTTGGTTTATGTATCAAATTAAAAACTTTTTACTTATAATATTGTAGGTAAACATGGGTGAAATGGAAGACGAATCATGTATGGAAAGTGGTGAGAGAACTATCAAATCATGGAATGATCACATGGATGGAGTTGCCATTGATGCTTTCTTAAATGAACAAGATGGAGCAAATAGGGTCGGTGGACAATTTACATCTACTGCGTATAATAATATCATGAAGGAAGTGAATGAGAAGTTGGGTAGAAAGGTGTCCAAAGAACAAATAAAAAATAGAATAAAAACCATCAAGAGGCGTTTCAATGAAATTTATGACATATCCAAGTGTGGAGGTAGTGGATTTGCATGGAATGAGGTGACAAAGATGTAGGAGGCAGAAGTGTAATCACTGATTGATGTAATGTATAAAATCTAGTCTTCGTTTACTACATTAACAAGTATATTTAAAGGTTGCAAATACTAAAACTTTAAAGTTTAATTTAACAAATTCTTTATTACTGATAAAGCTAATTTAGTTGTTAATTGTTTTTTCATCCTTGTCTTGGTACAAGTAATACAACCATTTTCACACCTTTCATAAATGAAGAACCACATACAAATGAAGAGAGCAACTTACCAGATGGTTATTCACAGTGCGAAGATCTTGATGATACACTAGGAAAGCGTCATGATATGGTGATTGATGATAGCGCTTTTGTGGAGAATTTCGTTGCCATGATGAACTCCACTCATCCAACATCATAGTCTATAACACCCCTCGAAAAGAACTCCGCAACTGGATTGACAAAATCATCATCAAAAACCAGATAGAGGAATGCAAAAGATCTTGAACGAGATTCAGATGTTGGTACTCGATTGGGTGATCTGACCACGACATTAAGGGAAGGGAACAAAATGATGGAAAGGAGAAATATAATTTTGGAACAAAGTAGTTCTCATGTGTAATTCGAAGAAGATAGTTATGGTGCGGTGTAACGTCTAGATCTTGGCGCTATGAAATTCGATGCATATGAGCTCTTGATTGATAATCAGTCAAGAATTCGAGCTTTATTTGGTGTTCCACCTGAAGAGAGAAAAGAGTTATTTCTCCATCAGTTGAGCCACAACAATTGACATATGGAGGGCTGGGGATTTCGTAGTTTGCCAATATACTTTACACCACTATGGGTGACTTGGTCCATATCCTTTTGAATAGCAGCTGACACTTATGCTTTGGTAAGTTGCTATTAAATGCCAGGTAGCACACTTACCTTGTAATTGTTTTGGCAAAATCAAGATCATGTAATGGCAGCTAGTCCCCTTTCACAATATTCTAACCTTGGCTACTTATTATGTTGTCAGTATGAAGCTTCTTTTTTGTTTCTTGCATAATAAATCAACCAACTTCAGGCTATAGTTTCTTGTTATATGCATTGAGGCAACATTAACTTGGTCATTGGTGAGTTCTTTACTCACAGTAGCAGAATTATCCTTTTCAGTATCATATATAGTTCATGAGTTGGTAGCATGCGTTTCAGTTAACCATCATGTATGGATATTAAAAGCATAGAGTTGAACTACAAATGAATACTTGTTAATGATGAGTTTTTATGAACAATATCGTGAATTCTCATTTATAACTTGGAACTGCATGAACTTATGCTCTTGGTACAAATGAAGCCGAAGTTAGTGTGTGTGATTGCACTTTTTTAATGAACATCGTGAACTTGTGCTCCCAATATAAACAGGAGACGGGAAGAAAAAAAAGAGTGATCGCTCAATGCCAATGGATTTTATATTTCTACAGTTGAGTAATTTCTTGATTTAATCATACACTAAAAATTATATATTTTTAGGTGAAGGGCGAGAATACTAATCAATCGTTCAAGAGCTAAAAAGATTACAATATAAAACATAAAACTTTTTTTGGTTCTTTTTTTAACCCAAATGAGAAGGGTATTTTGTACTGTAACTTGCTCACCAGATCACCTCCTCTTCCCATCCTCCAACCAAACAACAAAAAGCAATGTACATTCCTTCACTCCCTCTTCAACCAAACAACAAGCCTAAAAGGGACACTCTTCCATCCAACTCATAGCACTCTATCCCCCATTCCCTCCCCTCCTTAAACCTCCTACCAAATCAAGCCTTAAGAGTCCATATTAAGTTCCACATAGAGTCATAGCTTAAAGATAAGGATCAAGGTAAAGGTTTATCCTCTAAAATCAATACCCTATATTAAGTTCCCAAACATGCTCCAAATGAGAAACAAATTGTCCTACCACATTTCAGATTTTTGAGTTTTTGAGAAAAGTGAGGAACAAAGTTAGAGGTTTGCGGTATCGAGTTATCAAATTAACGTGAATTTGAAAAGTTTGGGGTATCAAATTATCAAAGTAGAACTATAGACTATCCAAGATAGAGAAGGGTGAAACTTCACAGTATTAAAGTGCAAAATAACCCAATAAAGTATGGATTTCGCAATTTCAACCTCCCAATATTTGTTCTCTTACCATGAATTGCAAGGTATTATGCACAAAATCACATTGCAAATAAGCAATGCTTGTCATCAAGCTCAAACATAAACCAATACGTAACCCCATAGAATTGGCAGATAGAACTTCAAATTAGACCATTAGTTTCGGGGCATCTTTACTTGACAGATATTTACCCCCAATAATTAGAAGACAAAACCCAAAATCCACAGGTAAGTGATCATACTCATCTATTCGCTGATTTAAGTTAAAAATACAAAGAAACAGAAAAAGAGGGCAAAATTGAAAGAAAAAAAACACCGACCTGCAGGATTTCCCTGAAGAAATTGAACGAACGAGGGAGACACCCTATCAACTAATCCCGCTCGGTTACGGAGAAAGGGTAAAGCGAGAATGAGACAGAAACAAATGGTGTGTTTGCGAAGGAGGGCGAAGGAGGGAAAAAATTCCCCTTGCTTCCCTTCCCCTCTGTTTACACCCAATTTACACCCTAAATTGGGGTGTAAAAATTTGGGCTAAATTTCTGAATGAGACTCTCAAACAAGATTAAAATAAAATTTCTCTATCCTTCTCTTTCTCTATCCTCCATCCAAACAAACCAATAAGAGTTTTGCTAGAAGAACCCAAAATATGGGACCAATAGAGGGGACAAGTGAAGTGTCCCCCTCCTATTGGATAGTGAGTTGGTCATCATTAATGATGACCAACTCACTACTTTATCCAATAGGAGAGGGATACCTCACTTGTCCCCTCTATTGGTCCCATATTTTGGGTGCTTGAAGAATTTTTTAACCAATAAATAAAAAAAGGGAATCTTGGCAGGTGAAGGAGATCCTCGTCATTATAGTTATTAATTAATAATTTGCCTAATTTAATAACAGATGGGTAGTGACATGATGGAGCCCGAGAAAAATTGGCATGCGGCCCATGGGAAAAGGGAAAAGAAATCCTATGTTATGTTGCTTGGACAAATTTCAAAACAGTCTTCTTTGAACTTTTAATCCCAAAAAAAGACTTATTTCTAACTTATTTTCAGAAACCGTTTTAAAAAAAAACCAAAACTTCACGGTAGTTGAACTCTCGTGAAATTTAATAAGTTTTACTAAACTTCACAGGAGTTGAACTCTCGTGAAGTTTCATAGTTCAAATAAAAATTTGAACTATGAAACTTCACGGAAGTTGAACTCCCGTGAAGTTTAGTAAGCTTTACTAAACTTCATGGGAGTTCAACTCCCGTGAAGTTTCGGATTTTTTTTTTTAAAACGACATGATTTCAGCGTTAAGGCTGAAACCAGGTTGGTTTCTGAAAAAATTTGGAAATGGATCTTTTTTGCGATTATTATTGTAAACGGGATTGTTTTGCAAATTTGTCGAGAAAACAAGTATCAAAATTTTTAATTGTCTATTTTATCCCCCCCCCCTCAATTTTCTTAATTCATATCCTATCCTAATTAGCTAATTCTCGAATTTAATCATTTCAATTAATTGTTTATTAAAAATAAATTACTTAAATAAAGAAATACAATTCATGACCTCTAGCCTGTTTTAAGTAATTTTTTCTTAACCGAGTATTGTTACGGGGACCCAAAATATGGGACCAAGGGAGGGGACAGGTGAGGTGTCCCCTCCCTATTGCATAATGAGTTGCTATAGCCAACTCATTATGCAATAGGGAGGGAACACCTCACTTGTCCCCTCCCTTGGTTCTATATTTTGGGTCCTTAAGTCATTTTCCTTCTTAACCCACCAATGCCACCTCATTGCTCACCCTACAAAAAGAAAACACTCTTTTATCTCTCTCTATATTCTACAGACTTTGTCTCTCCCTAATTTAGAGAAACACCTAAACACACGAGACTGATCAACTCCATCTGTTTGCAACTCTACCCAAATCTTTTCTCTCCACTCTTCTATATTTTAACCTACTTGGATCAATCAGCCAATTACTTAGTACTAACTGCAACGCCTTATAAATTTGCCATCTTTCTCAAATGAAAGAATTGTATTTAAAATGTTTAGTGATTCTATAAATACCTTGCTAAAGTTTAATAGAGCAAAAGAAGTGTTTTTTTTTAATTGTAAGTATTGAATTGATTTTTTTTAATTTTATTTTCTTATTTTCTCATTTTTTATTTTTTATTTCTTCTTCTTATTATTTGTTTTGTACTTCTTTGGATTATGCATTGCAAATACTTCTCATTATAGGTTATATTTTTTATTTTTTTCCCATTTTTTTATTTTTATCTTAGGGATTTGAGTTTGGTGGGAGCACTCGTCTATCAGGTAGATTTGCTCCCTTTTTTTTCATAAACAAAAGTTCCTGATTTGAATAACCTTTCTCATGTGGTTATTTAACATCAAAAAGTTTGTGAGTCACAAAAATAGCATTAAAATTTTGTTTGCATTTAAAAATAGCATTAAAGTTTGTTTGCATTTATTTTTTGTGGGCACGTCTTATAATATTGGGAAAAATGTGTTCAGACCCCAAAAACAGAAACTTCATGTGACAAGGTCCTTCATAGTTTTCCCCATGTGGATCAGCCCCTTGAAGTGTGACACTTTGTACTGCAGCCCTTGTAGACATCGAAAATTGCCTATAGGTCTCCACGAACAGCTCAGCGCTAAGAAAAGACGATGAACGTCACTATCCGGTTCACAGAAGCTTGATTGATGTCTGTGAACGCTTGAAGTGAATCGACAAACTACGTGAAGTAACGGAATTTCAGAATAACAAAGACACGAACTGATCGGGAACCTCGTGTCGTTCACAAACGGCGAAATACCCTTCGTGTCTCATTTATTCCACAGATGATCTAATCATTGGAGCTTATAGAACTCCTCGTCGGCTTTCTAACGCACTTTGAATCGCTCAAATCCGAGTTCGGATGAAGAAGTTACGGTGGAAACGGACAAATGTATAAAACGGAACGTCTCAGCCTGAGTTGAGACACCCCGAGGGGTCTCGGCACAAACAAGACACCCCAAGGTGTCTCGGCCAAGGGTGTCTCGGCCTCGCCGAGACACCCAGAGGTGTCTCTAAGCCCAAAAACGGGTTGTTACGCGGTTTTAACCGCTCGGATCTCCTTGAAGCCTATAAATACAGCCCCTGGAGCCTCCTTTTTTCAGATCTGGAATTATCGAGCGTTGCCGAAGCCCTACCGGATTGAAGATCAAAAGTGCACGAATTTCAGAGAGGAGGAGGAGTAGAGATCTGATCGAGTTCGTCGGCATAAAGAAGAGGAGCTCGTCAGATCTGCAGTTCCCCGGGTCTGTTCCTTAAGATTATCCCGTTGCGATAATCTTAAGAAGAGCAATTATCTCGCCGTTGCCGAGATAAGCGCTACGGTTTCTTGATTCCTTCGCGAATCAACGAAGCTCTGCCCGATTTTTTAGCAATCAGATCTGATCGGCGATGGTTCACGGATATCAACGTCCCCGTCACAGGCCAAGATCCCACGCAAGCAGCGGGCGATAAACACCCGTTGCGTTTGTTTGAAGAGAGTTGTATTTTTTTATTTTTCATTGTGTAAGAAAGTCTTATAAAAAGACTAATTTTACTTTGAATTTGTAATCGATAAACGTGTAATAGATTCAGCAATGAAGAAATTAACTTTTACCGCAAACAAACTGGTGATCATAGTGGGAGCCAACAGCCTCGATGCCGAGGCTGTCGTGCCGCAGCCGACGATCAAGATCCCCGTGGCTGAAGAGGTCGAGTACGAATTCGACCAGCAGAAATTTAAAGAATACATCTCCTCCTCCTCCTCCAGATCTGCTTGTCCTCATAAGCGCAGGATGATCTCCTCCTCCCAGAAGATCCAGATCTGAAGACCCAAGAAGTCGATCTCTACGTCGTCGCTGCTACAGTTGCACCTTGCAATGATCCGCCGGCATCTAATGAGACCAGATCTGCAGATCTGAACTCCTTCGTGATCAAGGAGCCGACTGCTGAAGGCGCGCTAACTTTATCAAAGAGAGCACGTCAAAGGAAACGCCAACGCCTCGCGCGCCAATTCGCCAAGGCTTTGGATTAGGTGGATGGACTCCGTTACCAAGCAGATCTGGAGTTCAGAAAGCGCCAAGTGGTTAATCTATCGCCATGAGCAGCATCGGGATCCTCTTCCTGACCTCCGATTAACGAATGGGTTCATGTCAAACGAACCCACTCTACTCTCGAGGAGCAAATCCACAAGCGCCGCACACTGTTAGCGCAGACGAGGATCCTTGTACGGAATGCACAGGAGTTACAGAAAGGAAAGGTAGTCAAAAAACCACCAAGATCTAAGCAAGTTTGGATGCCAAAGGCCAAATCAGCGCCTAAGACAAAAGCATCCGAGGCTGCTCTCCGGGATGCCAAAGGCCAAATCAGCGCCTAAGACAAAAGCATCCGAGGCTGCTCTCCGGCCTTTGTCAACTCCAGATCCCACTCCTATTCCTCCCGCACCTCCGGTGAAGCCCTATGACAGCGTGGATAGAGTCCTATTGAAGGATCGCATCGGTTCTCTACCCGAGGATCGAGAAAAAGCGCCCGTTAAGGAAAGATTGAGACCGTCAAAGGAGCTTCGAACAAACATCCAGACTGGGGGTCGTACGCGACCTCCTAACAAATTAATTTCTACAATAGCCCGCTTGGGGGTGCGTGCAGAAAACCAGGAGCCCGTTAAGGTTTCACCCTCACAAAGGTGTGATTCCAAGCGTGTGACTCCTGTAAACGCCAGCAAGGCGATGTTTACTCAGATGAAAACGTGTCAGACAGAAGAATGTGTTATACCTAAGAATTTATGTAAACAGCAGATAGGTTGCTCTGATCGCAACGTCGATGAGTTGTACTATCGAGCTGGGGGTACAAACAAATCTCGAAAGAGAAGTACCCGGGAAGCGGACTCTCACTGTCCGTGTATCAAAATTATCAGGGCAGTATTATCAGCGTGTAGCTACCCCAAGACCGCTCCACAGAGGGTCTCGGTATTTGAGAGGATCTCCACTGAAGCATCAAAGCCCAAATCAAGACGTTTTCACAAAAGACGATCGGTTGTTCGAGATGACGAACTCCCAACAGTTACTATCAACGTGGTTGATAAGGGGAAGTCTCCGATTAGTTCAAATAGCTCCAACCCTAATTTTTCTCCAGGAAGAGAAGTTAGTTTGGGAATAACCTAACGAATATCTCAGCTTCAGCTAGAAGCCATTGGACATAATGATTACCAGGGCGTCCGTGAAGGAATCCATTCCGATGATGAACTCTCAGATTCTTATTCCGCAATCGCCTCTGACGATACAACGTCTAGCATAGGACAAGTTCGGGAAGTGTTCATGATCAACACCGAGCAAATAGCCAAAATCATTGAGGATGCTCTAGCCAAGCAGAAAGAAGCATTCAAAAACAAAATGGAAATGGCTATGCAGGAGATAAGACAAATGCACGACCAACAAATCCGAGCTTTGTCGAATCAGCTAGGTGAGTCCAGCCGTCGCAGCACTGTTAACCAAGCAGGTAGCGATTCAGATGTGGATGAACACAACGCTGGGGGTGGTCCTACTAAAAATAACGAC